GTACTTTAGAGGTTCTTACCATCAACTGCTAACGCTCGCCATTCGTGAACATTAAGCCGCTTAGATACGAGGGTCGCCAATACCCTGGCCACGAGGAAAAAAGAAAATAGCTGCCGACAAAACATTAATGGCAACGTCAGAAATTACAGTTGCCAAAACGAGTATTTCTGTCTCGTATACAAAGTAGAAGTCCACTTAATGTTGGCCTTGGCTGTGTTTGCTCCTGGGCATAAAAGAGAAACCAACTTACACATAATCATAACACTGCTACGTGAACTCTGGGAATTTTTAGTTTTCAAATATTGGAAAGTTTTGAATCGATTCTTTTACAATAAAAGAACAAACCAAAAATAACGAAACAATAGGACGTTGTGTAATAGCAACATACAGATAACTGAATCTTGCAGCTGTCAGTTAAAATGGTAGCAGTAAATGTTTATTGTTTTCACTACCTGTTGTTGTTGTTATCTATAAAACTTGAAGACAAGATGAAATATCACACTTTTATATCATAAGACATAAAACACGGCACATGTTGTACCCTCGAGTCTACTACCGTTATGACGTCAATAACGACTGACCCGTAAACACTACGTGAGGTGAGTTATGTGGATTACCTTAATACATAAAACTCATTACAGGTTTATGTTTAGTAAACAGCTCTTCCTGTTGTGCACACACACACACACTCACACACACACACGTACGGCAGCAGGAGCATGTATACCCCCACATCCACTCATACGGAACAGACAAACACACTCATATACACTTAGCCCTGGCGTGGTCGTTCAAATTATAGATAAACGATGGCTGCAGCTTTCCTGGTGGTGGTGGCGAGTCGTTACCAGTGGGTATCTAACCCTGAACCTGGGATAAATGACACCAACATTGATACCACTCAGCCATGGACGCTTTTCACCCGCTAGATCGAAACTTCCGATAAATGAAGCTGTTACTGTACCTCACCTGTATCTCGCTGTATCTTACCTGTACCTCACTGTACCTCACCTGTACCTCACTGTACCTTCACCTGTACCTCACTATACCTTACCTATACCTCACCCGTACCTCGCTGTACCTTACCTGTACCTCACTGTACCTCAACCTCTACCTCACTGTACCTTCACCTGTACCTCACTGTACCTTACCTATACTTCACTGTACCTCGCTGTCACTCACTGTACCTCACTGTACCTTCACCTGTACCTCGCTGTACCTTACCTGTACCTCACTGTACCTCAACCTCTACCTCACTGTACCTTCACCTGTACCTCACTGTACCTTACCTATACTTCACTGTACCTCGCTGTCACTCACTGTACCTCACTGTACCTCCCCTGTATCTCACTGTGCCAGAGAGAGAGAGAGAGAGAGAGAGAGAGAGAGAAGGGGGGGGAGGGGAAGGAACGTATCCCATTCTCATAAGACCAAGACTTATGAACACCTTTAATAAACGGGATACAAAAGGGGTAATTACTTAAAAAAAGGAGACAGTTTACATCACGTTAATGCTTCATTCTCCCTCCCTTAACTAGAAGGTAAACATAGAGATGATTCAATTTTATTAGTATATACTTTTCCTCCCAACGAGACGTAAATGGCAGGCGAGCATTTTTGCAGAACTCTTTGGGTAAAAATTGTGGTGCATTTACCTGATGAATAATGAAAACTAAAGCCGAGCCAACCTCCTCTCGGGTTCATTGTTGTTATTGGGGCAAACAACTTCCAGGTGGGCATGTGTGTGTGTGTGTGTGTGTGTGTGTGTGTGTGTGTGTGTGTGTGTGTCCTTACAAAGAGCCCCCCTCTCTTCTCTTGTCAATTATGTTTGGCTAAGACAAATACTCCCCTTCAGTAATGACTATTTAAGTGAGATTTTTAAGCACCTAATTAGTTTTACGTCCATCCTTACATACTAAACATTCATCATCCTTTATTCTATTACACAACATAATTTTCACATATTTATCAACTAAAGTAACAAAATAATACAAAAAATACATTTGTCATTATAAACAAACTGTGTAGCTATTCTCATTTATAGAGACTAGGAAGAAGAATATATTAAAGTTTAGGTTAAAATAACTGGAGTAATCTATACACTAATTCATGAAAATATCCTGGTATAAGAGTTTCATAAAGGGATTTTAAAATTTACACTGTTATTAATCGGTCGTGGTGTCTGATGTCGTCGACGCCCGCCTCGTTACGTGTAATAATCTGAGGCCATCTAAACTACCACAAGTACATTGGCCAAAACAATATCCTCAGTCTATTGTTCGTGCATATTGGCACCTGAATCAACACAGTCAGGTCTGATAGCCTAAATAAATTCTATGATATAACAAGTAAAGGAAGGGTTTCTTAGCTTGTGCTGTAGGTAGTGAAGAGCATTCATCTGGACGCATGGCGATTGTGAGTCTTGGGATGTACCTATGAAATTAAACTGAGTTGGTGTATTGATTAGCTGCCAAAAGGTGCCATAACATCTAGTGGATTGAAGATTTTTTCGCCTGAGGTTGGATGAGTCAGTTTCCTATGAGAACAGATAATACGCCTTTACTTTATATGAATATTCTTATCTCCAATCAGCGCTGGTATTGTTTTTAAATTTGTATATTGTAATGAAAATATTATATCAACATTTTTAAAAGCAGTACAAGGAATGACACACTTCGAGTTCCTGAACAGAAGGAGGCGATGTATGTATGTATATCCGGGTTGAGCCGCCGGAAGAAGCTGGGTATTTGGAGTCTCTCGCGGCTCCAGCGAGTTTGGAGCCAAAATTATCCAAGAGGCTAAGATCAATATCAGTCTCAGATGGCAAAGATAGTTGCTGGTAGGGTGGGAGAATATGTGCCAATATTTTCAGAGCGACATTGTGACCCTGTCTGGGCGCTTGCCAGGTAAGTCGTGTCTCAGGATCGTGGGTCAGTGAGGTAACAGTGGTCAGGAGTCATATAATGATGTTCTTTATCATGTATATCATGCCATGTGAGGAGAAACATTTGTTGTTGTGGAGACTCTGCTGATCTGCCACTCAGCTTCCGCAGATGCGCTTAATTGCAGTACGGACAAAGGCTGAGAAGGAACGAGCTATATTAACACAATGTTTCTGTTGATGTATGTGAGTGCGTGAGGTAAAGTTCGGGATGGTCAGTAAGAAGTCCCCATATGAGAAGAGCTCACAAATTGCAAGCAAGATCACTGCAGCACACGCGGATGCTGTTCTCTCAAGCATATCAAAAGCAATCTTCTGCACGATGGGCTTGTCCAAGAGGCTTGTTTGTGTTCCTTTGAGTCCGCTGGTCTGGCTGTTTGGGCAGTGAATACATCCCATTGTGCTGGTGCTTCCCACAACCTTGGGTTGTGTGCCTGTGCAGGTCTTCTGAGCATCTCTGGAAGAATCTTCATTACCAGCTCATTGAACGCAACACGGAATGGTAGGAACGCAGGTTTGGGAACCTTGCGAACGCCTCCAGACGCACCAGGACATTGATTGTTCTCACTGCGGGTAAGCCAGTGACACACACACACACACACACACACACACACACACACACACTCACACACACACACATGCACACACACACACATGCACACACATATATATATATATATATATATATATATATATATATATATATATATATATATATATATATATATATATATATATATATAAGTAAGGATAAGGGCGAGCCATTTTCCAGGAGAATGTCGCTCGAGAGGGGAGCGAAATATGATTTAGTGTTGGCGTATTGGATGCAGCTGGAGGAACGGCAAGGATAGCACCGTGGGAAAAGAAAATGTGCAAGAGAGAAAGACAGATGGAGAGAGAGAGTGAGAGAAAAAGAGGGAAAGAGACGCATACCTGTTGTAGCGGAGGACGTGACACAGAAGCCAGCACACAGTCGGCAGTAGTAAGAGCCTATGAAATCGGAGATGGTATTGGAAAAAGCTGAGCCCGAGCGTCATGAAATATGGACGCGACTATTACGGCTTAGGAAAAAACTCCGATGTAATCAAGGAAGGAGAAAAGTTCAAATTGGAAGCAGATATATAAAGGCGAGGAGATGGAGGCCGCCAGAGTGCAGTTATTAATCGACTTTACGTGTATTAACATTGGTTATTGATCGCTGCTAATTAAAGCTCTCGGGTGAAAGATAAGCATCATTTGTTTAAGTAATTTAACAATAACCGTAACTTGAGGTTTGTGTTGATGAGACAGAGTCAAAGAGAAGGTGTTTTAGTGTCGTTCATTAATATTGATGTTTAGCCTTGCCAGTGACACGCCCGGGCCTGGGTTGCCGGAGACCGCTGTAACCTTCTCGCTATCGACTTTCTTTTGCGGCAACTTTGGGCTGGCAATTTTTTTTTTCTTCTTACCACTTTTCATTTTTTAGTTGTCTCTCGTGATATTCTTCCGGGTTTTTTTCCTATTTATGAAGCATATTAGATTTTCCGTTTTTAATTACTTCCATAATTTTTTTGCTTTTGTTTTTCAAGAAATTTTATCATAATGTCAATATTTATAGTGATTTAATATAGTTTGTATATAATTACCTGGACACACAGGAACTAATCAAGATATTACAGTGGATTAATTACGGTAAAATCTGTGGATCTGCCTCATTTTCCGCGGTTATGTTATGATGTAGAGTTGTAAACAGTCGAGCGATTTTCTCAGCCCTAATCTGACTCGGAAACCAAAACAGCCTTGACTGTTTTGTTCTCAATTAGAGCTTTGATTATTAACTGTCTCTCTTTATGTATATACAGTATTCAGTGTACATAGGGTAACATTACCACAAGTAAAATATAATATTATGTCTTGTATTTATTTAACTTGTGAAATTTTTAAACGTCAAGTTCCCGGTGATAGTTTGTCTTTCACTTTTCATTAGTTACCGACCATAAGAAGAATTATGTTCGCCAATATCCTATAGTAAAAAAGCCTTAATGAATGTATACATTAATAGCTTCTCTTCTCTCTCCAGACTACCTTGAGCATCAAATTAGAGGGAAGACGCCACCACAGCCGCTTACATTAATCTGGTGACACCGTTCCTCAAACAAGAATGCTCGCCGAGGGGCAACACTGTCTGCTTGAGGTCGGTGGTGTTCCTGAGGTTGTGGCAACACTACACCCAGGAGGAATGCACAGTGAGTAGTAGACTACTTGTGTGGGGCTCAGTTACACCCAGCTGCACCACGCCTGCGTCTTGCTGAGTGTTGTGAGGCGGATGGGCGGTGATGGTGGTGAGGTGAGGAGCGATGCGGGCGGCATGACGCTGTCCACGCCCACGCCACCACGGACGCCCCCGCATCCGACAGATCATGTGCACATCGCAAGGTCGACTCACATCACTGTATCAGCCCAGGACGCGCACGGCATTTGTGTGGACGTGTGTGTGGGTGTGGACGTGGGTGGGGCTTGGTGTGTGGGGCGGGTGTCCCAAAGTGTGTGAGTGTTTCTGGCGAGACGGTAAACAGATGGTGGCTTGTCGGGACGCGCAGTTCATCGACATTCCTCGAGGGATAGAACCATCCACCCAAGTACTGGATCTTAGCCACAACAACCTGAGGATCCTCCCCCGAGACTCCTTCCTCTACACGGGTCTCCGGAGCCTTCAGAAGGTGATGTTAAACCACTGCAACCTCATACTTCTGGAGAAAGGAGCATTCAACGGTGTCGAGAACATAATGGAGCTTGATCTCAGCAACAACCAGCTCCGAGCGGTGCCTTCAGCGGCCCTGATGGACATGTTAGGCCTCCGGGAGCTGCGCATCGCTCACAACGCCCTCACTACCATCCCTGCCTCAGCCTTCACACGCACCCCGCACATAGTCCAGCTAGACGTGAGTCACAACAAACTACACACCATCGAGAGGGGAGCGATACGGAATCTAACGGAACTAGAAATATTGAACTTATTCGATAACAAGTTTACGTTCCTAAATGCTAGTGAACTTGAGCCTTTACTTCTCCTGCGCGTGATTCGAGTAGATGGCAACCCCTGGCACTGTGACTGCCGCTTAAAGTCACTCCGCCAGTGGTTTCACGACCGCAGAATGGCCGCATCTGTACCGCCCTCGTGTTCACAGCCGAAATGGCTGATAGGGCACGACTGGCAGCTCCTGGACAACGACGAGTTCATTTGTGCCCCGCAGGTCACAGCGGTCGCTCCTAGGGTGCTGGCGGCCCATGGGGAAAATGTTTCATTACTGTGTCGTGTGGAAACTGAAGTAGAAACTACTGTCACGTGGTTCATAGGTGACGTTCCGTTATACAATGATAGTGAGCTACAGAGGTACTTGGTGGTGGAGCTGATGACTGCTAATAATATGTCCTACGTGTCAAACCTGACTATTACAGATGTTGTGTCCGAGGACCAAGGCACGTACCGTTGTGTGGCGGAGAACAGGGCGGGGTTCAGGGAGACAAACTTCACTTTACAGGTGTCACATGAAGTGGCCGAAGTAAGAGTGGCCAACATCGATGTTAGTTATATAAAGGAGGGTCTGTTGGGGGGGATCTCTATTCTTATTTTTGTGTTACTTCTTGTGTGTAGTATAGTGTACTGCAAGTTACGAGTGAATCGTGAGCAGCGTCAAGACGAAGACAGTGTCGAGACTGCCCAGTCGTCGAGGAGCTCAGACTGCGACGCGCAGCACAAACTAGCCGGTTACCACGTGGTGCCAACCAGCGACTTGGAGGAGTCGTCGCCCTGCAGACAGCAACCTGATCCTTCCTGGGACCTCAGACACAGAGGCCCTCCGGGAGAATTTCCTCCTGGCAACGTTCTTGATGTAAACGTTAAGCAGAGACAAGAACTGCCTGAATGTGCTGGTGCACAGGCCATGGCGTCCGCCACTGTCTCCTTCGTTGAGAATCCCAAACATGAAGTTTGTGGCATACGGCACAACCCCCTTGAGATAACACACTGGAAGGATATGGTGTGCCACAAGGACATATTTCTTCACAGAGTTTGTAGTCGATCAGTGTCTCAGGTGTCCTTGGGTAGTGGTAAACAGTACCCAGATCTGCTGGACCTGCCACATCCACAGCTGGGAGTGCAGCTACAACAGCACATGCAGCTGTCAGAAGGTGGACAAGAATTGCAGACTCTCGCAGCAGCGTCATGCAGCAGACCGTAAGTATCCACTACTGTCATGTAAACTTCACCTGCATCAAAAATTCTTACCCGAAAGTGGAACTTACTTATCTGTTCAACTCTAACAGTACACTTTACGAACTGTTTCTTTAATTTTTAACAAATGCACAAATAAATTTAAATCTAGACTTTATAAGTAATTTACCATCTTTCATCAGGTTCCCTATACTAGTGAATTATCTCCTCTTAAAAATAATGTGGAAACTCATTGATGAACTCTATCAGTACATTGTTTACCCTCTGAGGGTGTGAGCACCACCCAACACCCAACTGTTGACGGTGGACAGTGTTACAATGTACGGATCTCATAGTTAACTTATTGGCAAAGTTTCTTCAGTATTACGGTTTTATTCCCGTAGTAAATGTATATCAGAAGCATTACATACTCAGTTACTCTCCTCCGACTTAATTCATATCCACCATCTCTTCATTTACGTGTGTAGTAAACAGAATAAGTGCTCAGTAAAAACAACAAAACCTTTCAAGTCAATTTCTAGAATGAGTCGCTTCAGTATCAGTGTGTGTGTTAATTTGCATGGTAAAATGTACCAGAATCCTTTCAGTATCATGTAGTATATTGCGACTGAGTTACCTGTGTGTATGTTTGTGCACACTCACCGTCAGTTCATTAACCTGAGAAATAATCAACCTGGGTGTTGGTGGTATTGCCTTGTCTTCTCGTCCAGTGGCCTAAACCTTCCACACACACACACACACATGGTCCCCACCCCGTGCTGTACACACACCCTCAATCGTGGTCGCCACCCCGTGCTATACACACGCCCTCTATCGTGGTCGCCACCCCGTGCTCCACACAGTCAATATCGCCACTCTTTCCTCTCCCTTATGTGACTTTTACTATACCATAAATATTCCTCCGTCACATCACCTCCTCGGTCACCATTACCATGCAGAAAAAATATTCCTTCCGTCCGCTCTCCTTTATGGATAAATACTCCTGCACTTTACATATTCTCTCTCTGGTAATATTCCCCCTGTCTTCCTCCCGGCCACTAAACCTTCCCTTCAATAATCATTTACACCGCTGGGGTTCATATATTCCCTCGACTCCCACTTACCTGTTGCGGCTCTATAGTCTGACCAATATCCCTAGCCATCGGTAAACAATTTATTCAGATACGTTTCACCCAAGATGTTCCTCCACCATCTCCAACCTACGTCATCACCACCTCTCCAGGGATCTTTCTCCCAAATTCTATCTTCCACAGATGTCCAATTTTCAGGTCCATTCCTCTCGCCCTTACCAAATATAAACCTTTTCAGAAGAATGGATTTTGTCTGTTTTATTCCCCCTAGTGTTTTCAGTGGAGGGAGTATAGTGTTAGTCATTTCATCCGTAAGTTAGGAAAAAGAACCTTATGGATCGATGTGAGATTTAGTATATAGTTATAATAATCATTAACACTAAGGCCCTTTCCTCCAGCAAGGCCACAGTTAAGAGACTCTGTTGCCGAGCATTGAGTATATCACCTTTAGTTATTGCCAGTTCATCGTCTACCTGTTATGAAAAATCGACATATAATTATATATTAATTGTTTGTTATACCTCCTGTCTGCCCTCCAGCTTCACATATCGACGTTATCATTCACTATGATTGCAATTCCTAACCTAACCTAACCTAACCTGACCTAACCTAAAACATGACTCATCCCGTTAGTGTAAGGCAACAAATCTCTTTAGTGACCTCCCAGGAACTTGAGCCTGACAGCCCAAGTCTGGCCATCACACGTGTTACGTTACCAAAATAGCTCCATCATCCAGAGGAAAAAAAAAGATATGCACATTTTGAGCAGACTTCGAGGAAAGTCTTGTTGTCTCAAACTCATCAGAACTTTGAAAGATGTTTTCATTAAAAAATACTGAGAAAGAAATAGCGTCATCGTGAAGCCTCGAGCCTCTGGTTCAAAACACTTACAAGTGATATTAAATTCCCCGCCGCTAGCAGGAGCCGAGGCACGACTTTTGTCATCTTATCCAGACAGGTGTTGACAGAAGCTTTATTCCTCGACTCACTTCTTCCCCTTTTTGTGTGTATAGAATGAGACGTTTTCGAGACACCGAGTCATCAAACCAACCGCCCAAACTGTTTTAACTCGAAAAGATGAAACAAAAAATAGTAGGTAGTAGTTAAAAGGATTATTGGATCCCGTGGTTTATGGGATGTCTGTTGACAATGGTTGTCAGCTGCTGCTGGTCAACAGTTCAGAGGCAATTTGATTTCTGGAAATAAATTTCACTTCAGAGCTGTCGTAACCGAACCACATTTTCACTGTCGACATTAACACATTTTTGCTACACGTTTATCTTATGTGCAAACAATTGTTATTGGTTACTGAAAAATACTGAATTGTCATATATATATCAAAACGTGTAATGTACACAGGTAAATCAGTGTAAGCAATAGTCACCTCTGGGTGCGGGGTCTCGAACCAGAAACACTACAGTTGGTGGTCAGGCAGTTTATCCACTAGCATACGGTGGGATAAAAAACACTACTTCCTTAACTATTGTTTTGTAGCTCACCTGTTCACACACACACACACACACACACACACACACACACACACACACACACATACATACACAATGCACATACATAAAAACAGACAGGTTCATACAATAACTCGTTCACTCACATATATACACACACAGCAATTCGTACACACGCCAACACGCTCACTCATCCACGCCGTCACAAGAGCACTTACTCATGCAAGCAATCGTTCGCCCAGCTACTTGTTCAGACACCCACTCATCCTTGTCTAGCTTTACACGACAAAGCTTGCAGTTCTGTCTGCCGCCCACCTACTGCCCCGTCCTAACTCCCCCTCTCCTTTCTCCTGGGTCTATTCACCATGCAATCAACCCACTGCCAATCTCTGCCGAGTTCTCACACCACCTCAAACACTCCATTCGTAGTCTTACCTCTCCCTTGTCGCACTTCCTTCCCCCAACCCGTCAGCTTGGTTCTCTATCACATGTTCATTCCCGCCCACCAGCACACACACACACACACACACACACACACACACACACACGCTGGAAATAGATGCCATGGGGTTAGCTCTTCTCGCTCCCAGGATCCTCAATAACACAGTAGTATCAGGACCGTCATCAAACACCTTCTTCTTCCATTGTCTTATGTTTACCTGATCATCTTCCTTCGCCTTTATAAACATCTGAGGTCAGTTTTATGATAATGTTGACCGTCTTTACCGTTCTGTGATGATTTATTTGTATGATTTGTTTTATATTTACCGGTTACTGTGATGAATATGACGATGAAAGTGAAATACAATCGTTGTAAGCGTTTCTGCCCATTTACATCTTCAAAGGAACAAACACAAATTCTCTGGAACACATAAATGTACAAAATCGCTTTGAATGTCTGTGTATAAATTTCATTGTTGTTATCTGCATAAATATATATATAAGTATTCATATATCTACATAAAGTATACATATCAATCATTCTTCTTCAACCTTCTTTGTGTGTTTTTATTTTATTTATTTTATTCTTCGCAAAATCTCATCTTTTGGTAGAGATCCATAAGTACCCAGACTTAAGTGTTGCCGCCGACCTTGACTCTAGTGTAACTATTCACAACTACGTGCTACACCTCATTCAGGGTCATATCTTGTTAGCCTCTTCCCCACACCACCACACCATACTCTCTTCCCACCCAAGATCACAATTCCCGACGTTCCATTTTTCATTTATTATTTCCCGTACTTGTAATATAAGTTATCGCTTTAAGTTACGACGTGATCTTTGAATATTTTCGATATTTTTTTTTTAGTTTTAACACGAGCTTAAATGAGTGTTCTATACCTTAGTTCATTAAGAGGACAGTTTGACTTGATATCCCACACTTAGTCTCTATATCCGTGGTCGATATAGAAAGATGATCCTTAAAATATCGTACTCAAGCGGTTAAGATATGGTACTCAAGGTTAAGACATCGTACTCAAGGGATTAAGACATCGTACTCAAGGGGTTAAGACTTTCGTACTCAAGGGGCTTAAACATCGTACTCAAGGGGCTTAAACATCGTACTCAAGGGATTAAGACATCGTACTCAAGGTTGTTAAGACATCGTACTCAAGGGGTTAAGACAAGAACGTGTTTGCATTGTTATCCAAGAAAAATACATTTACAATACAGTTCATCTTGATAACAAATATGCAGAAAATAACACACGTTCTTGTTTTGTGTCGAGAAGATAGAAGAGGAACAATATTCTTTTCCCCGTAATGAAAAACTACTACTACTACTACTACCACCACCACTATCACCAATACTATCACCATCACTATCACCACCACCACCAGCACCCTTCTACTACCAAAACTACCACTACTATCACCAATACTACCACCACTACCACCACCACTACCACTACCACCAGCACCCTACTACCACAACCACCACCACTACTACCACTACTACCACCACTACCACCACCACTACCACTACCACCAGCACCCTACTACCACAACCACCACCACTACTACCACTACTACTACTACTACTACCACTACTACCACCACCACTACTACTTCTACTACCACTACTACCACCACTACCACCTCGTTGCTTGGGGGCGCTGAAGAACCCAGAGATTGTCAATACATTTATCAGCTCTTAACACTATGCAGAGATCGCCTGTTCGTGGGTCATAAATATCATTCACAATAATTTAAGATTACGATATTTTATGCATCGCGTGTGCAGCAAAAGCCTCCATATAACGGACTTTGATCTAACGGACTAAACTATAATGTAAATGTTCTTAGGGGAAAATTCAACAATAAAACAACTAATTAAAACTTAAATTACTTTTTTATTGTAAACCTTCATAAATAAAGTTGTTTGTTGAGACTTAGTTCATATATATTTAAACGTTATAACAGAATTGAAGGTTTAATAGAAATATGTTTGGTGTTTATTCTGAAATATATCGATTTATGTCTTCAGTTTTGTCTATGTAAGAAACATTTTTGTCAAGGTTGTGTAATATTTTGTGATTTTAGTTTAAGCATTAATATACTTCGTGTCCTATTAACCACATACTATTTTTAAAGACAATTTTAAATATTTTTTATACGTTTTTTATAATCTTGCCTTCTACACTGCAGCTCAAAGGCGTCCATATATAAAAAATTGAGATGATATATGGGCGTTAATTCTTCTAAAACCAAAAAATAAATTTATCCACAACGTAATTTATATGATTAAGTCGTGTGAAATTTAGATAAAAACTTGGATATAAATATTTGTTCTTCCTAAGCAATCCCAAACACTCACATGTGTTCAGGTACTTCTAACAGGGAAAGGTAATAACTAATACACCCAGATGTTAGCGTTCCTTCAATCTAAAACTCTCCTGAAATACTTATCATTGATAGTTTAAATAAGTGAGATATATATTACCACAGGGCACTATGCTACCTTCCCTACAGGCGGACGTACAGTGACGCAGGGTGTAGGACAGCAGCTGGAGTGGTGCAGGAGGTGGTGGTGGAGGAGGAAGAGAATGTCCACCCCCTGGCTCACGCTATACTCAACTCCCACGAACACGTCGAGTGCAAGTAAGTGTATTAACTCCCACTCCGGGCAATTAGCTATACCTGACGTACCTCCTCTACTGCACAATGACTTGATTATCATAACTACTGCTGACGAAATTTGCCTCCATTATATGCGTGTGTGTTTGTGTTGTGTCAGTGGCTTGTAGTACGGGTAGAGGATGGAATCATAGGGAGAATAGATGTTGCCTTAGACTCGCTGTTGAATGAAATATGATAACTTTAACATAAAACCTTGATTAATATGTAGGTCTGGGCTCCGTGCAGTATGTCTAAGCTAACCCCAGCGCTAGTCCTAACCTCAGCTTAGTCTCTTTTCTTCCTTCTGGTTTAGTGTAATCTGGTTTTAGCTTAGAGGAAGGATAATCCAGGTGTTTCTTTCACGTATCATATCAACAGCTGTATACATAAAAGATACATTTAGCTACTACGTGTATAGTCCGTTCGTCTCTTCCCTCTGAACCACGAACCCGGAGATTCAGACTCATGAATCCGAAGCATTTATGGGCAGAATTATATATCAGTCTACTACTTCGGGTTCACAAGTCTGAATCTCTCGAGGTTCGTGGTTCAGGAGGAGAGGTGAACCAACTATAGTAATTAACTGTAAATGAGTACATATTCCCGTAGATATATTTTCAAGACGATTATCATAAAGATGTTTATTATTAAATACAATAATTATCTGGATGTTGAGGCTCCGTTAGTAACACATTGACTTAAGGAAGGAAGTGAAGTTAACAGCTAAATTTAAAAACTTAAAATCTATACACACAACATTAGTGCTCAAAATTCTCAATGTAGGTTTAGCTATTTCTTTATAACTTACCGGTATCAAATAAGTCTTACCTGATGCTTTAGCGAATTTAGTCAGGAATCCGTTAAATGGAGTTTTTTTTTCCGTATACAATAACATTAAAAGATAAAATAAATCAGTATTTCCTCTAACATGAGCGAACCGACAAGAACATATCTAGGACAGTGAGACTTGATTCCCCTGGAGAGTGGTACGAGTATTGTCAAATAGCCTCCCACTTCGCTCGGAGCTCCATTGTTGCTACTCCTGGTGATACTATGACCAATTGTTCTGTTCTGCCGGTATGAAACTTCCTCTATGTGGTGAGCCTTAACTTGTCACTAACACACACACACGCACGCACACACACACACACACACACACACACACACACACACACACATACACACACACACACACGCCCGCCTTATACTTTACTAAGTGTGTGTATGTTTATCCAGGCATAACCTAACCTAACACTTCACTACACAGGCATAAACACACCTTACACCTCACTACACAGGCATAAACACACCTTACACTTCACTACACAGGCATAAACACACCTTACACTTCACTACACAGGCATAAACACACCTTACACTTCACTACACAGGCATAAACACACCTTACACTTCACTACACAGGCATAAACACACCTTACACTTCACTACACAGGCATAACCTAACCTTACACTTCACTACACAGACATAAACACACACTTTATGCACTGTCCTCACCAACACTCGTACTATCTATGAATAATTTGTCCATTGCAGTTCGAGAATTGAGTCAAATATATTAACCTAATATTTATGACGTCTCTTTGTAGTTGTGATGTAAAGGTTGATGTTCGGTGGTGTGCTTACATGAATATTTACATTTAGAAAGAGATTTAACCCTTTGAAGACGACCGTACTCAAGGGGTTAAGATCTTGTACTCAAGGGGTTAACATATCGTACTCAAGGGGTTAAGATACCGTACTCAAAGGGTTAAGATCTCGTACTCAAGAGGTTCAAATAAATAGCTTCATGGGGCATCTTTACGAAAGCCAAGAGGACCCACACAAAATCAATCAAGTTTGCTGTTGAAATTTTATCAGTAATAATGGCCACCTTATTTCTCTCCACGACTCATTGGGGGTGGGTAAAGAGATGACCTGACTGAGAGAGAGAGAGAGAACGATAAAGTCCGGGAAAATTACGATGGGTGAGGAATTTTAGTGCATGTCACGCCGCCAGTCTCCCCCCCCGTGTGACTATGGCCCACTGCAGCAGCGACTTGAATTAGGAACGTTTAGTTAACTCTCTACATCTACCATTACACGTTCATAAACAATGGAGTATATATTTTTACATGGTATTGTGTGCTATGAAGTGCGTTGTGTGAGTGTGTGTGTGTGTGTGTGTGTGTGTGTGTGTGTGTGAGTGTGTGCGTGTGTGTGTGTGTGAGTGTGTGTGCTGTGTGTGTGTGTGTGTGTGTGTGTGTGTGTGTGTGTGTGTGTGTGTGTGTGTGTGTGTGTGTGTGTGTGTGTGTGTGTGTGAGTACAAGGTCTTAAACAGCACACAAACATCCTCCAGTTACATTTGTACTTTATCAAAGCGATGTATCCCCGACTGCCACTGTTCATCTCGTCTCTCCTCTTCCCTCACAGTAGGTCATCCAGTGCCCTCAACCTCGCCCTCAGTCAGGCGGCGTCCAATGCCTATGCCAATGCCCATTTGCCGGTGAGTGGACATCAGTGCCTGCCCGGAGCACCGCTGGACACCCAACACCCACAAGCGCTGCGGCAGGTCGTCACACACAGGTACTGCAGCAAGTCACAAATATGGTAAAAGTTCACCATCACACACAGGTAAACAATGTTGGGAGGGAACCTACTACCACCGACCCCGTGTGTGTGTGTGTTAAGCCTGAGGGATATACTGGAAGACTAAGCGAGAACTTGTAGGTTTGCATTATAATTAATCTCTAGAGTACAATACACCTAAGTTCTCGATTAAGGTAGATTATTCCCCAGTGAGAGATAATTAGACTCCATTTTTTTTTTCATGTAGGGTAATTTAATCACTCTATAAAGGTGCGTTGCTCAACCTTCAGTCTCAAGAAAGAATCACAAGGGGTTGAGACTATTATATCACGAGGAGGACGATCAAATATTATTGTACAGTCAGTTACTATAAAGTCCGTCTGCCTCTCCTCCTGAACAATGAACAGAGAATTTCAGACTCATGAATTCAAAGCATTTATAAACAGAATAATATATCAGTCTACTGCTTCGGGTTCACGAGTCTGAATCTTGGGGTTCGTGGTTCAGAGAGAGAGGTGAACGAACTTTAGTAGAAGAAGAAGAAAGGAATAATAAAGACAAGAACAATTCTATCAACGAAGACATTTGTCCTGTTGCAGCCATTACACTAAAGCTACTACCCAGAGCGACAGAGCCTAAGTCATGCTATGTTTGTTTGGGGGATAAAAAAGTGGCTTATCTTCCCACTTCAATTAACATGTAAAAATAGCGGCAGCGTAAAGAGCAGAGGGAGAGAGAGAGAGAATCATGAAATTAACATAAACGTCATCCTGTTTTTCTTTCCTGGGGCATATCGCTGAGCCAAGGTGTGCTGTATTAGTATATTGAAGATTCTCACACCTTTTCCGTATTCCTGTGAGGTATTCCAGCCATTTCCGGTGTACGTACAGGTATGTCCGTCGCTTGAACACAGAATACTAAACTTTTGAATATTTTAGATATATAGTTATTTATTATTAGGCCGTTCACATAGATCTATAGTAATACTCAAACTATAAACAATAAACTGGCCACTGAAATGCTCTGAACTGTCAGTACTCGATGTGTTATGTAACGCTAGACCAATACTTGTTACTACAGTCAGCCACACACCACAATGACAAAGTGACATTGGAACATTATTATTAGCAAGCTTCACGTCACGATGTTGTTACAAAGGGTTTTCAGTGACAGCAGTACTGACGGATGTGACGTGACAAAACGTACAAGTGACATATGCGAAATGAATGTTGCTTTTGTTACCCTGTCATGTCACTTCACCGTCACTGATCTCAGGCTGAAGAGATGAGTTATATTTACCATCTTTTGTCTGTCTGTCTGTCTGTCTGTCTGTCTCCTGAATGTAAAATATCCTAACTTCTTATTTATTTTTCTTCCAAGATCAAATGTTTTGACGAGTTACCCCATTGACGTCACCGATTTCTGACGTCACCAACGACTTGATTAGTATCGGCCAGTCACCACGCGCCATTATCCAGGCTATTTAATGACCAGTTGCTGTCAAAGGATGTTGCTTATTACGTCACCCAGACCATTTCTTGATTGGCTGTTGAGACAACCAATCCCATTCGTGATGTATTGGTGTTGGTGGGTCTTCGCACGTTCATTCCCAGGATGGATTATGACAGACAGACAGACAGATAGACAGTATAACATGGACAGAATGATCAGACGCCAAAAAAGAGAAAAACGAATGGAAGAGAAACAAGTGAGGAGAAAGATAAGTAAAGTGAGAGAGAAAGACAGAGAGATAGAGAGATAAATATAGAGAGAATGGAAGTGTTTCTCTCGTGATAAACTGCACAATAATTGGGTGTCTCAGTAAAGCGAGTTTTCTTCCTAACATTAACTTTCCCGGACGCCTCGCTACTCTCCACTAAATTACCAATTTTCTTTTTTGACACTGAACGTCCCAGAACTTTCACCTAATTTAACCTAACCTAACCTAACCTAACAAAATCTCGTGAAGCAAAATAGGAACTCAGAAAATGATTTTTTTAGAAATAGGGAAATGGGGAATAACAAGTGAAAATATTGTAAGACCATCATTAATCTTGTAGGGGCGACGGAGCACCTGCAGCCAGCAACGTGTGTAGCCAACATCATGTAGCTGACCCCTGCCACTTCGAGTACCACGCAGCGCAGCTGGAGAAGTTCTTGAAGGAGTACCGTTGCCTGCAGGAACAGCTGATACACATGAAGCAGTCCTACGAGGCCCACAAGAGGGCTGGATCTATCCCCAGGTAGAGTGACCCTCATAAGGGACGGTGGTTGGGGGGGGGGGGTTCTGGTCATCCATTTTGTGACGTCATATATCAATAAATTGATTTCTGAGAGTTAAAAAAAATTATGGTTTCAGTAAATTCTTTCACAAGTGTTTCTGATACTGTTGGTTAAGTGTTAAACATTATGTAAAACACTGGTGGTGGGAGCTTGAAGTCATAACTATACGTGCAACTTTTGTAAGTGAAACGTAAATATAATTCATACACATAGTATGTATACATAATACACACACACACACACACACAACCGCATCCAGCCTATACGTGCACGAACTGATCGCTATAAGAACAGCCCAGTCCCAACCATTGTAAAAATTATCAATAACTTGTAATAAACCAGTGTATTCACTCCCAGTAAATACTACTTCTTGCACTGTCACTATGTTGAAATGCACTGTAGTTTGAGCTTTTCCCCATCTAGTTATTATATATCTTATTTGTATCACTTATGTTACTTGTATATTATTTGTAATTCGAAACCCATTCCCCAAATATGTAACTGTATATTTTCAGCCTTCTGGCTGCCAAGCTCTTTCAATAAACCGTTAATTATTATTATTATTATTATTATTAAGTAAGCTACCTGGTAAACAATGCATTCAATTGAAATTTAAGGAGCTTTTTTAAGTCTTGAACTAGATAACTTTTCGATGACAACACCAAAAAAAATAAAACATCATTGTACTGTGGTGTGTTAATGTGTTTATCATCTGGCAGGTTGGATTGTTGTACTCCTAATGTTGGAGAGTCACTGGGTTCCTCGGCGGCAGTGTTTCCTCCTGGTGATCCGTGTTGTTCCTGCAGTCTTCAAGCAGCCTTCCTGCCCCCTTCTGCGGTTCAACCTATACCAGGAAACTTCGCAGAATCTTCCATGGCGGAGGTTTCATCTGGTGGATATCCGGAGGGTTCTCTCCCTCCCTTGTCACCTGCTGGGTTCAATGAGGCTTCCAATCCCCAGATATCGAGTGACGGAACTGTAGATTCTGCCTTCGCCTCAGGTGGATATGTGGATACTTCCATGCCTCCTTCTGCTAGATATGCAGATAGTTCTACACCACAGATACAGAGAGGTGGCTATACGGATACATCCACGTGTCAAGCCGCGGTAGAAGTGGAGTCTCCCAGTCAACAGAGCCCAGCTAGAGGAAGCCCCAGCGGCAAAACATCAACAAGGACACTCAAGGAACCATTAAAATCCATCCTGAAGAAGAGTACCGATGGTGGCGGTCGTCGTCGGTGTGATCAATGGACAAGAAGTGCCGCCGCCGCCGCCACCTCCTCTTCGTGCTGTGACACCCAGACCCCTCCCCTTCCTCCGTATGCCGCCACAGATTCACAACATCCTTCATCTGAACCATACCCATCAAATGATCCTTATCCAACCACCGATTCACACACAACCTCAGATCCGACAGCCGACCCAACTACGACCCTCACACACGCGCCACACACCTGCTACGACTCATGAACCACGACGCTAATAAGAGGTAAGAACTAAATTATCGTAATCTTTTTCTTGTTATTTTTTTCTCTCGACTTTCAGAAGAATTTTTACCTCGGAGTTAAAAAAAATAATAATTCTCGTCTGTATTTTTGTTACGACGAGCTCTTGAGGTATTTGCTAAATACTAATGAACAAATATTTGCCTTTAATTTCGGATCCCTCACCGGCAAGAGCATAGGTGCTATTGCTTGAACTTCGTGTGTGTGTGTGTGTGTGTGTGTGTGTGTGTGTGTGTGTGTGTGTGTGCTACAGTCACATCAAACACTGTTAGGTTAGGTTAGGTTAGGTTAGGTTAGGTTAGGTTAAGTTAAGTCAGGTCATCGTATTACCTGATGGAGTGTATTGAGTGATGTTATTGTAGTCATCATGTGGTCAGTCAGTCTACCGAGAGCATCCATTAAGGCTTTAAATGGCATTGCCACCTGCAGATAACGGAGGTGAACCAGAGTGTTGGTCTGGTTAAAGGAGAACTGACACACACACACAAACACGCTGTATTACACGACACCAAGTGAACAACCGCTATTTCTACGCTACTGTACCTCAACTGTTTATGGCTGGATACATGACACCAACATTCCGTATTACGGTTAGATTAAGTTAGGTTAGGTGAGAGTTGGGGGTCGAGGAGGCTAAGTAATTGGCTTCTGGTGTAACTCAGGACCTACGGCCATGTTTTCTCTGATGACAGTCCTTGTTGACACTGGCTCCTGGTGATGCCTCAGCAGACAGAGAACGTCAACAACTGCGTTAAATTAAAAGAAACTTATACCTACACTGTTAAAAAACTTTAGGTTAGGTAAGGTTAGGTTAGGTTAGGTTAGGTTAGGTTAGGTGAGGGAACTGACTGCCACCGTACGCAACTGTATATAACTAAGCTGGCACATCATGTAAACGCATCATAAATCAGCCGTAGGTAATGATGCAGCTAAAATTTATGATGCATATTAATCTAAACGAATCACTGGCTCAGTAAACAGGGAGACAGACAAACAGACAGACCAGATAATTTGGCAACAAGATTATACTCTAGCAGGAAATATTTCGATATATTTCTGAGTAAAACAAAACATCAAAGTGTAAACAAGGATTAAAATGTAGTGTGACGCGTGTGGTGAGTCGCGTGTGGTGAGTCGCGTGTGGTGAGTCGAGTGTGACAGGGAAACCATTTTCACTTCCAGAGCGGCGACACCAAACAATGTGATGTACTGACTGACAATATGTCCTTAATGCCTCGGAAACTCTCCTTATAAAACAGACGTAGAGAATAAGTTATGGAAAGCTGTGACTGTAACTTTAGACAAGGGAGAATAATGTGGGAATGATAAAACACAATTATGAATGCAAAGGAGAAAATGGGATGACTACCTGATGTAATATTTCATTGTGATGTGAGGGAGAAGGTGTGGGTGACAGGGTAGGAAGAATGACCAAGTGAGAGATATGTGATCATGAATGTGAGTAAAGGATGAATGAGAAAGATGTTACGTGGAGGACTTGGTCATATTAGCATATTGGAGACATTGAAAAAACAAATTAATACAAATTGTTCAGCCATTAATCAACAAAAAATACAAAAATATATATATATAAAATTAACATCTGAATGACTTCGAGTAAATAAGTGTATGTAATATAGTATCATGTTCCTAACCTCAGTAGCCAACATGGAAGAGAGAGAGAGAGAGAGAGAGAGAGAGAGAGAGAATATAACTCGGATAGACTAACAACAAGAAACTCAGCTGATGTGTCCGTGACGTAAACTGGACAGCGAAAAGATACTACAAAAAAAAAACATACATTACAAAAGATACAATAAAATATGGAAAAAGTTCTCAAGTGATGATATCTTACTAAGGCTCTGGAGGAAGCGAGAACGACCCGACATAAAGAAACGAACACAAGAAACAGATTAGAATACTTAACACAATGATATTTTATAAGAATTTTGGATGGAGGAATGACGGACTGCGTAAATGTATGTGAGAATAGTGAACAATGGCGGTGTTTGGGGAGTGTTTTGGTAAGGCGGAGGTGAGTGTACAGAGAGGGTGAGAAGTGAGGTAGAGAGGGTGAGAGATGGCGTAGAGAGGGTGAGAGATAAGGTAGAGAGAGTGAAAGGGTAAGAGAAGAAAGGGACAGATCAGCTCACACAACATCATCGTGAACTGGACGGGGATGTGGTTCGTTGTTTGTCCCTGTATATGTAAACAAAATCTCATTCATATTCCTTCTTTTACAGACACTGAATGAAGACAACTGTACACCAAGACAACTGTTCACCAAGACAACTGTACACCAAGATAACTGTTCATCAAGACAACTGTACATCAAGACAACTGTTCACCAAGATAACTGTTCACCAAGACAACTGTTCACCAAGACAACTTTTCACCAAGACAACTGTACATCAAGACAACTGTACACCAAGATAACTGTTCATCAAGACAACTGTTCACCAAGACAACTGTACACCAAGATAACTGTACACCAAGATAACTGTACACCAAGACAACTGTTCACCAAGATAACTGTACACCAAGACAACTGTACACCAAGATAACTGTACTTCAAGACAAGTGTACACCAAGACAACTGTACACCAAGATAACTGTACTTCAAGACAACTGTACATCACCTAAAAATCCTCTTCAACTGTTTAGATGCACAGTACATGGTTAGTGTGCATTAATCACCAGGTAATTGTACTAACATCCTGTTGTACATTACCAGATTAATGTGCAGTCCCCACCAAGCTAACGTTACATGCTACTGTACATCATCCTAGGCTACTGTACATCATCCACCAGGTTACTGTACATCATCCACCAGGTTACTGTACATCATCCACCAGGCTACTGTACATCATCCATCATGCTACTGTGCATCATCCATCATGCTACTGTACTTCATCCACCAGACTATTGTACATCATGCATCATGCTACTGTACTTCACCCACCAAGCTACTGTACATCATCCATCATGCTACTGTGCATCATCCATCATGCTACTCTACATCATCCACCAGACTATTGTACATCATGCATCATGCTACTGTACTTCATCCACCAAGCTACTGTACATCATCCACCAGGTTACTGTACATCATCCATCATGCTACTGTACATCATCCATCATGCTACTCTACATCATCCACCAGGCTACTGTACATCATCCATCATGCTACTCTACATCATCCACCAGGCTACTGTACATCATCCCATGCTACTGTACATCATCCATCATGCTACTGTACTTCATCCACCAGACTATTGTACATCATCCACCAGGCTATTGTACATCACCAAATTGCTGTATATCATTCACCGAGCTACTGTACATCACCAAGTTCCTGTGTACATTCTATAACATCCTTTTGATCAGTGTACATCATAGTCTCAAGGTCACCGCATAATGGCCATCAAAACACTTCAAAATTAAGCTTCTGTATGATGCACATATTGTGTACTTTAGCAGACCACTGTACATCACCAGGTAACTGTACATCATCACTACACAGCTGTAGTTCACCAGGATGTTAACCATTACCACACAGCTGTGCATCACCACACAGCTGTACATCACCACACAGCTGTACATCACCAAGATGATGTACATAAACGGGCTCCTAGTCCTTACCAAACTACAGTATTGTACAGTCTACCAAAAAATAGTAAACCGTGACATTTTTAGATTACAAAATACAACAATGAAATATGAAGCAGTTTGGAACAACACCCTGTATGGATCATGGTTGTGTTGTGTTGTGTTGTGTTTTGTTGTGTATTTTTTCATTTACCAAATAATAAACTATAACATCATACAAGTACACCTTTCTGATGTTGTGTTACGTTATTTATAATTTCTTCATTAGTATTATGATCCAATGTTGCTCTTGTTGGTCATTAAATCTTGTCTCCCTTGACTTATATTATCATATTATATTAAAAAATATACCTGAGGAAAACCCTTAAATGTTTTACACCAGACACCAGGTAAACTATGTTAGCTTATCACCTACAATAATAATATTACCTGGATTTATTTACCTTATGTCTGGTTAATAATATCAGGTAGGACAAGTAATTATCAAGGTTACATAATGTTGATAATGTTCTCTGGAGAGTTTGTAAGATGGTCTGATAGTTTATGGGTAAATTATACTAACAGTATTTTCTTTTGTGTGTGTATAAGACGCAGCAGAATTTACATAGAGAATTTTATTGTGCTTGAGGTAAACAGAGAGAACTTTACAGTGCCTGAGGTTAACAGAGAGAACTTTGACACATGAGGTGAACAGAGAGAACTTTATTGTGCTTGAGGTAAACAGAGAGAACTTTACAGTGCCTGAGGTTAACAGAGAGAACTTTGACACATGAGGTGAACAGAGAGAACTTTATTGTGCTTGAGGTTAACAGAGAGAACTTTGACACATGAGGTGAACAGAGAGAACTTTATTGTGCTTGAGGTAAACAGAGAGAACTTTACAGTGCTTAAGGTAAACAGCACACACTCACTTAACCTTCAGGGTTACCAACTGCTTCGTGCTCTACGCCAATATATTTCATATTTGAATTGTACATCATCATTCTGCTGTACATCGTCAGTCTGAAGTACATCACCAGTCTGCTGTACTTCACCAGTCTGCTGTACATGAACGGTGACGCTGTACATCACCAGGCTGTTGTACATCACCAGGCTGGTGTACATCACTAGGCTGCTGTACTTCACCAGTCTGCTGTACATCACCAGTCTGCTGTACATCACCAGTCTGCTGTACATCACCATAATGCTGTACATCACCATAATGCTGTACATCACCATAATGCTGCACAGTTTATGTCATCACAACTAAGACTTGCTGTACATATGTGTCTTTTGTAGATGTTGTACATAATTTTTACGCAGGAAAAATCATATACCGACTTAAGTTTGGCGACAATCCTCCAGTTCCTTGTGGCCATCATTGTACCATAAAGCTACACCGTGTACCATGGCCAACATTGTACCATAAAGCTACACCGTGTACCATGGCCAACATTGTACCATGAAGCTACACCGGGTACCGTGGCCAACATTGTACTATAAAGCTACACCGTGTACCATGGCCAACATTGTATCATAAAGCTACACCGTGTACCATGGCCAACATTGTACCATAAGTACTGTGGCCAACATTGTACCATAAAGCTACACCGTGTACCATGGCTAACATTGTACCATAAAGCTACACCGTGTACCATGGCCAACATTGTACCACAAAGCTACACCGTGTACCGTGGTCATCATTGTACTATAAGGCTACACCGTGTACCGTGGCCAAAAAGTGTACCATAAAACATTGTACCATAAAGCTACACCGTGTACCATGGCCAACATTGTACCATAAAGCTACACTGTGTACCGTGGCCAACATTGTACCATAAAGCTACACTGTGTACCGTGGCCAACATTGTACCATAAAGCTACACCGTGTACCGTGGCTAACATTGTACCATAAAGCTACACCGTGTACCGTGGCCATCATTGTACCATAAAGCTACACCGTGTACCGTGGCCATCATTGTACCATAAGGCTACACCGTGTACCGTGGCCATCATTGTACCATGAAACTACACTGTGTACCGTGGTCATCATTGTACCATAAAGCTACACCGTGTACCGTATGAAACAAACACCAAAGATGTGTGTTCTTTTTGTCCAAGCTGCTGGTGTGTGTATAAGTGTATGTGAATGTTTGTTTTATTGACTAAGTTTTTTCTCTCCGTACATCACTAGTAAACAGTTTCACAGACCTGTGTCTCAATAATGTTTTGGATAAATAAACAATTTAGAAAGTTGAGTTTCTTTATCATACCAAGTTATTATGATTGAATGTCTGGCAAGAGAGCAGGATATCCCTCAAGTACAACCCTTGATGCTAGACCTTGATGAAACTTTTACATATATATATTACAAGGATAACGTTAAAATGGGTTAAGATATTATAAACTTATCAATAAAGGTAAGGAAATAATAAAGTTCCTCTACTGGGTGACACACAGATGCTAACATCTTTATTGACTCATGAAGGTCAGGTAGGAAGGGACACCTCACACATTTCCAACACTGCAACACACTACAGCACCAACACTGCCACATACCACCACAGCTCCAACACTACCACACCTCCAACACTACCACACACCACACCTACAACACTACCACACCACCACACCTCCAACACTACCACACACCACACCTACAACACTACCACACCACCACACCTCCAACACTACCACACACCACACCTACAACACTACCACACCACCACACTTCCAAAGCTGCCACATCACCACACCTCCAACACTGCCACACACCACACCTCAAACACTTCCGCACACCACAGTACCAACACTGCCACACACACACACACACACACCTCCAACACTGCCACACACCACACCTCCAACACTGCCACACACCACACCTCCAACACTGCCACACACACCCCACACCTCCAACACTGACACACACACACCTCCACACACACACCTCCAACACTGCCACACACACACCACACCTCCAACCTTGCCACACACCACACCTCCAACACGGCCACACAGACATCCTCCAACAGTGATCGCTATAAACCACCACTAATTCCCATCATATTCTCCCCACAGTTGCTCCGCCTTACAGTCAACCAGGACCAATATAAGGCAGAGCGGACGATGGGTTCAACTAGTCTGGGGCAGAACAATTTTTGTGACAAATGGCTGGAGAGTAAAGAGGATTACCCCGTCACAGCTTGTTGGCCCACGAGCAGCTGACCACAGGACCCGGCCAAGTGGTGGTAGAGAGAGAGAGAGAGAGAGAGAGACGTAGATACTCGTAGGTGTTCCTCAGGGTGTCAAGTCCAGCAGGTAAATTAGTAACTTCCCAGGTGACGTCAGCAGGTAATTCTCCTGGATCGTAATAGGTGTTTGTTTTCGCTTTAAGGTAATCTGTCCCCTGTGAGGAGAGAGTAAGCTTGTTAATTAACTTGGGATGAAAATCAGAAGCTTCACTAACCCTGTGGATGAATGACCTGGTAGCAATATTGACTAGAAACAAGAATAATCTGTTTGTGAAGCTTCAATCTCTGCTTTGAGAACCAGATTTGTAATTCCTTAGAATCTTTTAGAATTTTGTGTGCGTCAGTCTACAGGCATTGTGGTTTTGAGAATAACCGTAAATCTAGTGTAACATCTCAATATATGCCCGAGTCCTTCTCTGTAGACATTAACTGCTCAAGTTTCGACAGTGAGTGATGTGGCAGTTTCCTGAAATGTGATTTAGTAGTCTTAGTTCCCACAACTACTTTTGTTGTTTACTTTGATAAAAACAACACTGAAGAACCATTACAAGTTTTCATTCAGTTTATCTTAAGATTTGGTCTGCGAGTTCTCCTACTTAGGCAATTATTCTTTCGTTCTTGTTGTGTTTGTGTTCTTGTTGTGTTTGTGTTCTTGTTGTGCTTGTGTTCGACGGTGTTTGTCGTCAGAAAGTCATCATTATATATTATCTTAATGGTTAATTCTGAAACGACTTTGTAATTAACAGTTTATCGATTCTCTTCTACCTCACTAACAGTTTATCGGGTCTCTTCTACCTCACTTTACCTCACTAACAGTGTATAGAGTCTACACTACCTCAGTAGTTTAGGTTCTGTCACCAGGAGGAAAATCAAGTCCTAAACACAGTCAAGTCTCACAGTTGCTGACAGTTATTTCAATTTACGTCTCAATTTCCAACAAGTTCCTCACCTTTGGGTCAAGAGAAATTATATAAATATTGCGTTGTAAAGTAAAATAAACTAATATGAGTATAAATTAAGAAAATAATAGAGTGTTTTAGCCAATATAGCAAACTTTTTGGAATAGGTTAGGTTAGCTTAGGTTAATACGTAATATTGATGTTTTTATTTACTTGACGACAAGAGACAATCAGGTGATCATCCAACACGTGGTAGATCATCCAACACGTGGTAGATCATCCAACATAGGGTGTGTGTTGCCTCCTGGTCGACTCAAAATAAACTATAATCACTGGGTAGGATTTCCTCGTCTCACACATTATTTATTTTATATCTACTTTTTTCATCTTGTATAAAAAAAAAATTGCCCAAGCGAGTGAGTCCATTATAATAATGGCTTCATGTGCGAGGTAAAGGCTAAAAATCCTCCTCTAGTGATATTAAACTTTTCTTTTATGTCGGCAGCCTAAAGTACACAGGAAAATATTACATCCATTGTACAGAGTCTTTTTAATATTTAATAACTGGAATAATATTTGTTTTTATTTTACGACAGAAACATCAAGATAAAAAAATAAATCAGTTTGTGTTTTATTGTGTATAATGAAGGACGAATATTATGAAGTAAGAGAAAACTATATCGTTTATGATAAGATATTTGTGTTGTTATCACCGGGTTTTTTTTAGACAGATACCAATAACTTTTATCTTGAAGCCTCGTGTGTGTGTGTGTGTGTGTGTGTGTGTCACCTCACCTGTCAGTAGCCTCAGTATATCATCTTTGTGCCTCACACCTCAGCCGTCTCACACCTGCTACACCTGCGTGAAATGTTGAGTCGGATACAGTGACGTGTATGTTTATGTCTCACTGTCTGTCTGGTCTCAGTCCTCAGACACGACCGAGATGATCTTTGTCTTGTGACTGGGAGTCTACAGTAGCAAGGTTCGTTCAGTTATCAAAGTTTAGGAGAAAAACATAACGTATGAAGCTGAGAATCTGGACCGAGGCGGATGATGAGCTGCCGGGTCTGGAGTGGCTAGACTCAGATGACGTCACAAGGTAAACACTGTGAGAGCGAGGCGACGCGCGTGTGATCACGACTCTCACTTGAGGGGCAACTAAACTCCAAACATTATAACTGAGGTGTTGAAGCGGTGTTTGTGTACCTGTGTGTTGAAGCGGTGTTTGAATACCTGTGTTGAAGCGGTGTTTGAATACCTGTGTTGAAGCTGTGTTTGTGTACCTGTGTGTTGAAGCTGTGTTTGTGTACCTGTGTGTTGAAGCTGTGTTTGTGTACCTGTGTGTTGAAGCTGTGTTTGTGTACCTGTGTGTTGAAGCTGTGTTTGTGTACCTGTGTGTTGAAGCTGTGTTTGTGTACCTGTGTGTTGAAGCTGGGTTTGTGTACCTGTGTGTTGAAGCTGTGTTTGTGTACCTGTGTGTTGAAGCTGTGTTTGTGTACCTGTGTGTTGAAGCTGTGTTTGTGTACCTGAGTGTTGAAGCTGTGTTTGTGTACCTGAGTGTTGAAGCTGTGTTTGTGTACCTGAGTGTTGAAGCTGGGTTTGTGTACCTGTGTGTTGAGGTGTGTGTTTGTGTACCTGTGTGTATACAAAGTCAGTATGAGTGGGGAGATTTAGACATGACTGGTGCTCGAGGGTCAGTTGAGTGAGGAGATTTAGACATGACTGGTGCTCGAAAGGTCAGAATGAGTGAGGCAGATTTAGACATGACTGGTGAGTCAGCATGACTGGTGCTCCGAGAAGGTCAGTATGAGTGAGGGAGATTTAGACATGACTGGTGCTCCGAGAAGGTCAGTATGAGTGAGGGAGATTTAGACATGACTGGAGCTCCGAGAAAGTCAGTATGAGTGAGGGAGATTTAGACATGACTGGTGCTCCGAGAAGGTCAGAATGAGTGAGGGAGATTTAGACATGACTGGTGCTCCGAGAAAGTCAGTATGAGTGAGGGAGATTTAGACATGACTGGTGCTCCGAGAAGGTCAGTGAGTGAGGGAGATTTAGACATGACTGGTGCTCCGAGAAGGTCAGTATGAGTGAGGGAGATTTAGACATGACTGGTGCTCCGAGAAGGTCAGAATGAGTGAGGCAGATTTAGACATGACTGGTGCTCCGAGAAGGTCAGTATGAGTGAGGGAGATTTAGACATGACTGGTGCTCCGAGAAGGTCAGTATGAGTGAGGGAGATTTAGACATGACTGGTGCTCCGAGAAGGTCAGTATGAGTGAGGGAGATTTAGACATGACTGGTGCTCCGAGAAAGTCAGTATGAGTGAGGGAGATTTAGACATGACTGGTGCTCCGAGAAGGTTAGAATGAGTGAGGGAGATTTAGACATGACTGGTGCTCCGAGAAGGTCAGTCATGTGAACTAACTGCTGGAAAACACTTGCTGGTGTTGACTCTTGTCCAAACTGTTGTCTTATAATACACGCTAAAGGAACCTTGGTATAGTCCATCTCTCACTATTTTTCTCTCTTGAACCCTTGTACTCCAACACCCGAGGCCTTCAACCCTTGTACTCCAACACCAGAGGTCTTGAACCCTTGTACTCCAACACCCGAAGTCTTGAACCCTTGTACTCCAACACCCCAGGTCTTGAACCCTTGTACTCCAACACCCGAGGTCTTGAACCCTTGTACTCCAACACCCCAGGTCTTGAACCCTTGTACTCCAACACCCGAGGCCTTGAACCCTTGTTCTCCAACACCCTAGGTCTTGAACCCCTGTACTCCAACACCCAGGTCTTGAACCCTTGTACTCCAACACCCGAGGTCTTGAACCCTTGTTCTCCAACACCCCTAGGTTCTGAACTCCCTGTACTCCAACACCCAGGTCTTGAACCTGTACTCCAACACCTGAGGTCTTGAACCCTTGTACTCCAGCACCCCAGGGTCTTGAACCTTGTACTCCAACACCCCGGTCTTGAACCCTTGTACCCAGCACCCCAGGTCTTGAACCCCTGTACTCCAACACCCAGGTCTTGAACCCTTGTACTCCAACACCCCAGGTCTTGAACCCTTGTACTCCAACACCCGAGGTCTTGAACCCTTGTACTCCAGCACCCTAGGTCTTGAACCCCTGTACTCCAACACCCAGGTCTTGAACCCTTGTACTCCAACACCCGAGGTCTTGAACCCTTGTACTCCAGCACCCTAGGTCTTGAACCCTTGTACTCCAACACCCCGGGTCTTGAACCCTTTTACTCCAGCACCCTAGGTCTTGAACCCTTGTACTCCAACACCCCGGGTCTTGAACCCTTGTACTCCAGCACCCTAGGCTATGAACGCTCGTCCTCCCCTCCTCTCCCTCTCCCTTATCCCTGCTTACATATTCTGCAATGTCCGCCATCCCCCTCAGTTAACGAAAACTTTTATATCCGATTTGTTCTATTTTTCTCCCCCATCTGCCTTTCTTTCATTTATTTCAGTTTGCATAAAGTTTCAATTGATCTTGTTGCTATTATTTGTCATCTTCTTGCTAATTAGTTATTATTTCTTCTCGTTATGCCTTATTTACTAAATTTTTTCCAGCTAAAAATTCGGAACTGATATAAATGGATTTTTATTGTGATATAAAACATTAGTGTCTTTGTCCGTAACTTAATTGGCTTCCATCAAGAGATTTTATATTGTAGGATCAAATAAGGTTAAGTTAAGTTAGGTTAGGTTAGGTTAGGTTAGGTTAGGTTAGGTTAGGTTAGTTTAGGTAAGGTTAAGTTAAGTTAGGTTAGGTTAGGTTGCATTATAAGACAAAATTTCTTGGTTTAGTGAGATAAACTGTAATATTTCAGTACTAAAATAAGACACAGTAGACGTTGTCCCATAGTGTCTGTACCAATGTCCACAGTTACTCACTATAGTGACTAACTATAAAAATGTTTATATCTCTGTAGAGGGAATTCTTTCCAGCTCAATAACAGCACCGTACTGTGGTCAACTCGCTGCAATAAACCCCAGTCACTCTGCAACATTCTCTCAACAATGAACTGGGGAGTCTCTCCCTTACAAATTTCCCTATAACTAACTACGGTACCTCAGATAACTGTGTCTAACTATAGTACCTCAGATATCTGACTGTGTCTAACTATGGTACCTCAGATAACTGACTGTGTCTAACTAAAGTACCTCAGATATCTGACTGTGTCTAACTATAGTACCTCAGATAACTGACTGTGTCTAACTATAGTACCTCAGATAACTGACTTTGTCTAACTATGGTACCTCAGATATCTGACTGTGTCTAACTATAGTACCTCAGATATCTGACTGTGTCTAACTATAGTACCTCAGATAACTGACTGTGTCTAACTATGGTACCTCAGATAACTGACTGTGTCTAACTATGGTACCTCAGATATCTGACTGTGTCTAACTATAGTACCTCAGATATCTGACTGTGTCTAACTATAGTACCTCAGATAACTGACTGTGTCTAACTACAATACCTCAGAGAACACAACAATAACTGTATATAATAACAATGGTGGACCTGACAATACAGGGTGTGGGTCTCCAAGGAGCCGCTCACAGATCTCGTCTCCAGTATTTACCTCACAAGGGGCACCATTACTGGGTGTTGAGACCAAGAAAATGTTACATATTATAATAGTCTAGTCCTAAATATTCCCTAGAGTGAGTTGTGTCATATTGAACTTGATGTTTCATTTGGTCTAGTTAACATTTTGTGTTCACGTGGAGGAAAACCACAATTAATTTCTTTTCCTCCTATAATTATCTACAATTTCGTACTCTGTAATTGGCGCCACGTGTAATTGCAAGAAATTGGCAATATTTTCCGAAACAAGTTTTGGTATTCTATGCCTGACATAAACTCTGGAAGTATTGAGGAAATATTTAATACAGAGGCTAAGAAAATGACATATTGTACCTATACTAATATTAGTATTGTTCTCTCAAATGACTTTATCTTCATCTGGGTTTAAGGAACAATATTTATCTCTGACGTAAAGTTTAAAGTTATATAATATCACTAACCCTTACAGCAATGAGGCCAAGACGTGTGTCATGGTATGTTGACTAACACTGCTACATCACCTGTAATGTTATTCATAAACATTATATATGAACTAAAATGTTTCCCTTAAATAAAAACTATTATTAAAACACTACATATATAGACTGACAGACAAAATATATTACCTATATATATTATCACGTGAACTAATAAATATTATTCTATGACTTTTAGATAATTATTCTGCCAGTAATTTCATACAATTAATATTAATGATGATGGAAAAAATGTCATTATTACCCAATTAACAGAGACTAATAGACAGGTGACCTATCAGGTGTGGACTGTCACATTACCACCATCTTCACCAATCAACACACATCACCACCATCTGCACCAATCACCACTCACTATCACCATCTCCACCATACACCAGATACATGTACCATCTCCACCAATCACTACACACCATCACCATCTCCACCACTCACCAGACACCACTGTCACCACCTCCACCAATCAGCTCGCATCATTACTCCAGCATGCACCAATGAGCGGGTCGTAAATTTCCTCCCGCGACTCCTGAACGAAGGTAATGGAAAATAACGCTGCCATTATCCCGGGAAAAACATCCGTAAATTTTCGTTAAAGTTGAATATTTTTTCGAACTATTGCTACTGTGGACACCATTATGGCTCCCAGAGTGTTTTACTGTAAGAAAGTGTACTGCAAACACCAATACGGCCTGAAGGCGTTGTAATATGGCCTTGAGGTGGTCTAATATACTAATATAGCCTCGAGGTGATCTAATATGGCTTCAACGTGTTGTAATATAGCCTCGAGATGTTCTAATATGGCCTTGAGGTGGTCTAATATAGCCTCGAGGTGATCTAATATGGCTTTAACTTCTTGTAATATAGCCTCGAGATGTTCTAATATGGCCTTGAGGTGGTCTAATATGGCCTCGAGGTCGTCTAATATGGCCTCGAGGTGGTCTTATATGGCCTCGACTGGCCCTCGAGGTGTTCTAATATGGCCTCGAGGTGTTCTAATATGGCCTCGAGGTGTTAAAATATGGCCAATTATTCTCTTTTTATCACCCTATTCCTTCTTCTCCTTCTCTATCTCTCCTCATCGCTTTTCTCTCTTTCTCTCTCTCTTTCGTACCCGAGTCTCTGGGCCCCTCGAGGTATCTCTTCTAAACACACGACTCATAAAAGGTCTTGAACAAACACCTGGAGAGAAAAAAGATAAGGAAAAACGTTTATACTGCCAGAAGCCTTGTGTGTGTGGGTGTGTGTGCGTGTGTGTGTGTGTGTGTGTGTGTGTGTGTGTGGGTGTGGGTGTGTGTGTGTGGTAGTAGTAGTAGTAGTAGTATAGTGTACACAGTAGAACACTCAGGTCTTAACACACACCCTCGTCCACCCTACACTGCTCGCTCAATACACTTCCCCTTTAATATTATTCTACTGCTGGAATTAATAGATACAATTTCATCACATAAACCTCGGGACAGTTATTGTTATCCTCCTCACTATGTTCACTGGGTCGTGTAGTCCTAGAAAGATGATGTTGGGAGGAATACTCTTACACAATATTATCCCTGAAGTGATAATTGGTGAAGAATATTTCTCTAGTAGATATATTACTCAATAAATTTCATTGGAATTATAATAGTGTGAAAAAGAAACATAAATATATAATATATTGAAAATTACTGTATAAAATTTGTGAACATAAAACAAAGCGAAAGGGGTATTTTTTACCATTCGAAAAGCAATTAATTACAAGTTGGAGCAATAAAATACTTCTGTTACCAGACATATGTTTCTCTCTTATATTCTAAGTAAACTGACGGGAAGTTATCGCTGACTGGCGTTATTTCCTCATCTTGCTATTATTTCACGCCAATTTGGCTATATTTTTCGCGCCATCTCTGGGCACTTGGGGAGTGAAAACCTGCAAATGTTTTACGCTCAAGTTACGTGAATATGTGAGAACTTTTATCAGTAGTAATGTTGATATATGTGTACCTGTAAATACTGTAATAAAGGTGGATGGTAGTGAGTGTTATGATGTACAGTAATAAAGATGGATGGTAGTGAGTGTTATGAGGTACAGTAATAAAGGTGGATGGTAGTGAGTGTTATGAGGTACAGTAATAAAGGTGGATGGTAGTGAGTGTTATGAGGTACAGTAATAAAGGTGGATGGTAGTGAGTGTTATGAGGTACAGTAATAAAGGTGATGGTAGTGAGCAGGAGGCAAGCAGTAATAAAGGTGGATGGTAGTGAGTAAGCAGGAGGTACAGTAATAAAGGCGGGATGGTAGTGAGTGTTGGTGAGGTACAGTAATAAAGGTGGATGGGTAGTGAGTAAGTTATGGAGGTACAGTAAATAAAGGTGATGGTAGGAGGTTATGGAGGCACAGTAATAAAGGTGATGGTAGTGAGTGCTATGAGGCACAGTAATAAAGGTGATGGCAGTGAGTGTTATGAGGCACAGTAATAAAGGTGGATGGTAGTGAGTGTTATGAGGTACAGTAATAAAGGTGGATGGTAGTGAGTGTTATGAGGTACAGTAATACAGGTGGATGGTAGTGAGTGTTATGAGGTACAGTAATAAAGGTGGATGGTAGTGAGTGTTATGAGGTACAGTAATAAAGGTGGATGGTAGTGAGTGTTATGAGGTACAGTAATAAAGGTGGATGGTAGTGAGTGTTATGAGGTACAGTAATAAAGGTGGATGGTAGTGAGTGTTATGAGGTACAGTAATAAAGGTGGATGGTACAGTACAATATTATGAGGAAGTCTTACTGGTCTTGAGAGAGAGATGAAGGGGACTTGATAAACGCTGTGTGTTAGTTGTGGGACGTGATGTGTGTCACCACAACAAAATGTTTTACACTAGTGGACGGGATATGTTATACACCTGGTGATAATGTCAAGTTGTCAGTATAAATCATGGTAACGTTTGTGTGTATGACGCTGACTCGGTGTGTCCATCACGCCGGTGTGTGATGTGTGTCATGCATCACACAACTCCTGTATTTCAATATCCACCATATTTATGTACAATGTTCATGATAGAAATAATAACATTACTTCTTAACAAACTTTAACACCGGTTTAAGTATTATAACATATATTTTATAATAAATAAAGTGTAATATTTATTTCCTAAAACATAAAACAACATTCAATTAAAGTAGTGGAGTTTTAGGAAACATTTTACTACTGAAAGCTTTTACCTTTTCCTGCACAGTTGTCGACCATTTTAACTCAATGTTGCCTGTGTGGTGCTGGCGAGTGAGGGGCGTCCTAGCGAGGCTTCCTCATGCAGTTGTAATGTGTTCTTATTTTTTACTGCTGTTATTTGACTCACCAGCAGCGGAACACCAGGGTAAAAATATAACTGGTGGAGAATATAAGACTGGGAGGCAGTGTACAGTCGAGTTTTGTGGTACAGTTATAAAGACTGTCAGAAAATACTTGGTGGTGTTGTCAGGTAAAAGAGACTGGGTGACTGTTAAGAGACTGGATGAGTGATCACAGTGAGGGGGGGAGGGAGTGAGCAACACACACACACACACACACACACACACACACACACACACACACACACAGCCACTGTACTAAGGGCGTATGGCTCTTGTTATCATTGTTGTGTGTACGAGAAATATAAACCATAGGATGTATGTAGACATTAGAGTGTGTTGGTGACTTGTTAGGAGAGAACACCACAAACACTATAGACTAGAGAGAGAGAGAGAGAGAGAGAGAGAGAGAGAGAGAGAGAGAGAGAGAGAATGTTTACTACAAGTGTGTGTGTGTGTGGTGATGACTCCTAACATTTGACTGTGTATGGTGGCTGATGTGTGATGCTTGATCAATAAGACCTGATATTGTTTTATTATTGTTTGTGTACAGTATAACAACTCTTATATTTGTTACCCTCTCACATTATCTCATTATCTCTCTTTTACTCTCTCACATTCTCATATTCTCATTATCTTTCGTGATAAAAATTTCTTTATGTTCATCTACAGTATGTTAATATATTAATGAAATATTTCCAAACCTCTTAAGAATTAATCCTATCACTCCTCTCTCCTTTTCATCCACTTCCTCTTACCCCTCCTCACCCTCCCTCTCCCCTTCTCCTCACCCTCCCCCTCCTACTCACCCTCCCTCTCCCCCATACCATCCCTCTTTTCCTCCCTTTCCCTCCTCACCCTCACCATCTCCCTTTCCCCAAATCAGAATATAATAATAAGAATATGATAAGAATATAACCATAATAAAAGGTAAACATAATGTAAATGCTGATACAGTGTTATGATGGACCACAACCTATAGAGCGACAAAAGGCAACAACTACAGGACGAGAAGGTAACAGAGGCGTCGTCCTTGGTGGCCGTCTGATCACCTTCACCTTTGACCAAGAATTTTACCTGAAGTTATTAGTTGGTTAATTAAGTAGTCGCTGCCAGCAGGTGCATAAAGATTTTAAAGTGGGGCGCAGAGAGAGAGAGAGAGAGGGAGAGAGAGAGAGAGAGAGAGAGAGAGAGAGAGAGAGAGAGAGAGAGAGAGAGAGAATAATCCTATATTTTTCTGTGTAAATAATTATGATTACGGAATAAATTTTAGGAAAGGTTAAAGAAAATTTAATGACTTCTTTTAGGGGGATGAACACTTGGGATACACTCACTCACATCTAACAATATAAGTTCTTGCTATTAATCAACTTCGAGTGATCATCTGACTTTAGTGAAAAATGGTGTTAGGTAGAAAATTATATCCTGTTTAATTGTGTACTTTTATCTGGCCATTTGCTCTTTCTATCATGATATAAATATACATAAAGCTTCATTAAGTATTTGTATAACTCTGGCGAACTGTGTATATTTTGTATACTATCTGTTGGCAAATATTATTTTGTTCCTGAACATAAATCTAAATATTTTTATTCGTGTTAATATTAATGTTGATATTACAATGTTTACTGTTGTTACGCCTCGTGAGTTATGTTAATATTATTGAATAAAATTAATATTTACTTTATGTTTGATTTTCAGAACCGACTGAGTGAAACTGTTGGAGAAGTGCAGCAAACTAGAGACACAGAGAACCAGTGCAGCAATTTACAGCAGAATCATAACAGGAAACTACAGATGCCAAGAATCAGTGCAGCAACTTACAACAGCATCAGAATTACTTACAACTTGGAGAAAAATTCATACGTGTCACATCTTCAGTCATCCATGTTAATATTGTCTGTGGTCTAAGGAAAGAGTCTTCCTTTGTGTACGGGAGGAAGCGATGGGCCGGTGTTCTTGTACTCAACTGCCTCAAAATCTCTTCCCTTAAGTGAGGATAAGAGACTGCCTCCAGCTGTAGTAGTCTTAGTGTTATGTTGACGCCACTTTCTCCGCCATTGTTGTCATGTGTCGTAAGTCAGTCAGACATCTCTATTATGGAGGATAATCAACGCTCGAGCTTTTGAGAGCTTAACGGAGGTATAACAGTCAGGTCCAACCCTCAGACACAGGTACAACAGTCAGGTCCAACCCTCAGACACAGGTACAACAGTCAGGTCCAGCCCTCAGACACAGGTACAACAGTCAGATCCAACCCTCAGACACAGGTACAACAGTCAGGTCCAACCCTCAGACACAGGTATAACAGTCAGGTCCAACCCTCAGACACAGGTACAACAGTCAGGTCCAACCCTCAGACACAGGTACAACAGTCAGGTCCAGCCCTCAGACACAGGTACAACAGTCAGATCCAACCCTCAGACACAGGTACAACAGTCAGGTCCAACCCTCAGACACAGGTACAACAGTCAGGTCCGACCCTCAGACACAGGTACAACAGTCGGTTTCAGCCCTCAGACACAGGTACAGCAGTCAGGTCCAGCCCTCAGACACAGGTACTACAGTCAGGTCCAGCCCTCAGACACAGGTACAACAGTCAGGTCCAACCCTCAGAGACAGGTACAACAGTCAGGTCCGACCCTCAGACACAGGTACAACAGTCAGGTCCGACCCTCTCATACAGCTGTTTTCCTCCTGCCGTCTATTGTATTATTCATCATCCTCCTCCTCCACTTCCCTGCCTCTTCCATCTCCTTCCTCATCTGGTTAACTCTTTCTCTTTCCTTTTCCCATTTTTCTATCGGAAACATTCTCTCTCTCTCTCTCTCTCTCTCTCTCTCTCTCGCTAAAGTCTTCTCCATCATCGTTAATTTCTTGTTGTCAGTTTTGTCCACTTTCCTCCTGATCTAAATAATGGCTTTTTCTTTCCAATTATTTTTCTTGTCTTTGAACTGTATTTTTCTTTCTATTAGAGAGTGAAAGAGAGAGAGAGAGAGAGAGAGAGAGAGAGAGAGAGTGTGTGAAAGAGAGAGAGAGAGAGATTGAGAGAGAGAGTGAAAGAGAGAGAGAGAGATTGTCTCCTCGACACTCCCAGCACTTGTCTCTTCTGTTTATTTACTTCACCTTCTCCCCGTTCTCTTTTTGTTGTCATCACAGGTTCTTCTATTTCCCCTCAACTTCCTCAGGTGCATATTTCTCGTAATTTTTCTCCTGCTTCACAGTCTTAGTTTCCTGGTATAACTTCCATCAGTTTCTTCAACGTCCATTTTTACCTTCGTCATAACATATGTTCCTTTGTATTAAAGTTAAATAATTCCAGTTTCATTTTTGATCTCACATTCTCGGGTGAGAATTTTTGTCCAACTCCTCTTCATCTTTTTCTTGGGAATAATCTGTCTTAAATTTCTTTCTCCCGCTTGACTCTTCCTTACACTTTCATGTTTTATATTTAAGAATATTTTCGTCACCAAGATTTTCCTGGTTATTTTATTTCCTTTTTTTATTTCTTTGTTATTATTGTTCTGTTTCTTCTTAATGCTTACATTCCCTCTCTTCTTATTTCGTATCTCTCTATGTTTATTTCTTCTTTTGCTTCATTTATCACGTTTCTCATTCTTATTTCCTCTTTTCCTTTCATTTATTCTTCTATCTTTTCATCGTAATTTTTTTCCCGTCTCCAGTTATTTGTCATTGACTTTTCTCTTTTCTCTTCAATTAATTTGTGTCCTGTTTTATTTCCCTCTACACTCTCTTTCTCTGTCCTTGCCACATTATCAGTCCTTCCCTGGTTCCTTCCTGGTGTATATATCAAGTCGTGAATAATAAAACTGCAGACATAAAGAAGATTACAGTAATCTGTCATCAGAGCCGTGACGGTCCCCATCCGCTTCCCAGCCATGGCTAAATATTACTCTTGCTATGTTTTCAGGTTTTAGAGAACATCATTTGAGCCCAAAATACGGTGAGTATGAGGCCTCGAGCATGGATATGTGGAGAATAATAAACGAATGACTTTCTCTCTCAAAATAAGTTCTGAGTTAAATCCTCAATGGGTAGAGTCGCCTGCATTTATACCTGGTACAGTGGCTGGCGCATTTTGTGAGATGTGGCCACTCTGTCCAGAAATTTTTATCTAGCATCCTTACTCTGCTTACTATTGCGAGGTTCTTTAGTGCCATTCCGGGAGTTTTAATACGATGTAAATAAACACAGAGTGGCCACATCTGACAAAATGTACCAGCCACTGTACCAGGTATAAATGCAGGCGACTGTATTTAGTTTTGTTAAGCTCAAGATGTCAACATATTAAAGAGAATTGTAAATTAGAACATGTACGATGAAAAAAATACGCAAAAAAAGTCAGAATATTTATTCATACATCTTCCTCGAGGGTAATATGCATGGGTTCAGGCATGAAGAAAATTGTCTTCATGAGAAAGTGAACAGCACTTGAAGATGAAGCTTATTTGCATGTCTCTTTCCTGTGTATCTTTTCTGGTAAGGACGATGAAAGAGGAAAGTCGTATTTACGGGTTTCTTTTTATTTTTCAAACGCATCAAGTCTTTTTTCATATAAGCAAGATATTATCATAAACTATAAGCATATATTTACACCTTAATGGTTAAAAATACAAAATAAAAATGAGTGTTTATATACAATTTGAAGTCGCTTAGTTTAGTAGTTCAATAATTTCTCCCACAACACAGCTTTACATAAGACGATGTTGGTCTCAGCAACAGGGATGGAGAAGCCTCGTCCATAATGTTTTAATGACTCTTTGTACCGAGTTTTATCATGACCTGCCAGTAAGTAGTTCATCTTCCTGCTACTGGTGTCTGTACCTGGCTGTTGTTCACTCCCTACTGAGCTGAATTATTTGTTATAGAAACTTGGTAAACTTTGTCAGTAGGAGTTACACCGACCCTCTCTGTGTGTTTGTCTTTCTCTGTATCTCCCTCTCTCCCTCTCTCTCTCTCCCTCTCTTTTATATTTCTTCACTCGTTTGTCTGTTTACATTTCTATCTAAGTGTCCCTCTCATTCTCCCCCTTTCCTCTGTCGGCCACTCTCTCTTTCTTTAACTTGGCTCTAGTTTACACACCGTTTTGACACATTAAGTAACCCCAGCGACCGTGGCCAGCAGTGTACCACCTGGTCCTGCATTATTTCTCGAGTTTTACCTTCCTTGTTGATTAATAAACAGCAATGCAGGTACACGTTCAGTAAATACAGAGATAATTAAAAAAATCTAATAATTCTTAAACACTTCTCATAATTCAATGATATTATGAGGTTGGGATAGGTTGGGTTGGGTTAGGTTGGGTTGGGTTGGGTTGGGTTGGGTTGGGTTGGGTTGGGTTGGGTTGGGTTATAAAGTGGAAACAACAAAGTGGCTACATCACAAACCTGACTCTTTTTTGTGTCTGTTCCTGGAAATAATAACCACGGGACAAGGACGAGCGGGTGTAGTGGAGTCAATAATACTGGCAACACACCTCACACCCCGGCAACCTTCTACTCTGTTAGTCTTATTCTCAGCTGGACACGAAAGAATTGTCGTGTTTTTCATGTTGTTTGGGTGTAAAGTTGAAGTAAAAACAGAGTTCATATCGACTCCTCCCTTCTTGCCCGTCGCTTATATCACTTCTTTTATAAATGGCTTTCAGCACATGGTTATATAACAGGTACAATGTATTTTAGTTCTATCATTATATCATTCGAATACTGTATATTTCATTATAGGTTACTGATGTGTGTTGTATATAAACTATGCAAGATATAAAATGCATTTATCAATACACACGTATGACATTTCCGTCTAAAACCGTTTATATTTTACAATGAAACCATCACAAGTCATTTTCTCTTCCTAAAGTAATTTTACAAGTGAATAGAAAAGTTGGAAAGTTTTAATGGTCCAAGACAGTTGAATAAATGAACTAATAAAAGTGGAGGAAGCTCTTCAGGAACTACAGAGACGTGAGTCGCCTCTTGTACACCAAAGTTCATCCACGTCTTAACTTACTCTCTTACTCTAAAACCCCTAATATATTTTATTCTATTACCAGTAACTTTTATTTTTTTATTTAATTACATGAATATATGTTCATAATTTTCAGGGCGGGATCACAAGAAGAATTTAGTAATGAAAACTGACAATATTTTTTTTTAAATATGAAGGACTCGGACTACTCTGTGTGTGTGTGTGTGTGTGTGTGTGTGTGTGTGTGTGTGTGTGTGTGCTATAAAGTCAAACACTCTCACAATACAGTATCCATAACTGGAGATAGTCTAATAACATCATCAACTAACAACAAAATATTGATATGGTTAGGTTAGGTTTGGGAATCTGTCCTATAGTGATGAGGTTCCTTAAAAAAATAAGAAAATTTAGTTCGTTTTGGTTCACGTTTTAGATGGTGTCAGCTACTTGGGAAAGCTTAAAACATTTTCGTGGAGAAAGCTGACACTCACTTTCACGATGCCGAGAGCAAAACATTCACTTTTACTTCTCTGATGCTGTCAGCAGATCCCCTCACGTTCTCATCTTCAACAACCATTAACTTGATACAACATTTTACGCCTTTAACTTTACTGATATATTATATACTGTATATGTCTGGGAGTATGTTGGTAAGACATGGCAAACTAACAAGATATGTCTGGGAGTATGTTGTTAAGACATGACAAACTAACAAGATATGTCTGGGAGTATGTTGTTAAGACATGGCAAACTAACAAGATATGTCTGGGAGTATGTTGGTAAGACATGGCAAACTAACAAGATATGTCTGGGAGTATGTTGGTAAGACATGGCAAACTAACAAGATATGTTCGCATATTAATCTTTCGTGTTTTAGTGTCAACATGTTCTTTATCTGTGTTTTATATCAGTTTCTTCGTCTTTTTCGTTCAATACTGGATAAATTATTATTATGTTCATCATTTTATCAAGCGCCTTCTTCGCCATCTTAGAATTATCGCCGTGTAATATATTCTATTCAGCAGCTGATGGAATATCGACAAGAATGGACGCGTTTTGTCTTCTTTTTTTTCAATATACCAACAGCCGAAGAGTTACCATGACGCCATTCCCAAACACCCTACCCGACTGTCACCCGACCTCCACCCGACCTTCACCCTATCTCCACCCGACCTCCACCCGACCTCCACCCGATCTCCACCCGACCATCACCCAACCTCCACCCACAATCTCTAAACCAGATGTCAGAATCACGTCTTCAAACAACAAAACATTCTGAATAATACATAAAACATTGAAAGAACGCAGATCAAAGCCAAGCGTCGTCCCTTTAAGAAAAAACTGACTTGTGACATGATTTCCCCAACTTCAATTTAGTGATTTCAGGATTTACGAAAACATTGAACATAAGAGATAGAAAAACATCACATCTTAACTCCCTCGAACGACTTAAAAGAAATATATTGGCAGGGTTGATTTGGACACATTTTTGGCCTCTCGTCACAATTTACACTATAACTGGAATTATCTTACCGTCAAGCTTAGTCTAACCGCTATGTTAATAAGGCAGCTGAGGTGAGAGAAGCAGTGTAACAAACGCCAGTGTCTCTGATGGCGATACTGACATAAACAGAGACTATACAGTGGTGGTGGCCACATCACCAGAGAGAGGCTGCAGGGTGGTGGCCACATCACCAGAGAGAGGCTGCAGGGTGGTGGCCACATCACCAGAGAGGGTGCAGGGTGGTGGCCACATCACCAGAGAGAGGCTGCAGGGTGGCCACATCACCAGAGAGAGGTTGC